GGGGGTCCATATCTACTAGGAGATTTGGACCGGGGGGTCCATATCTACTAGGAGATTTGGACCGGGGGGTCCAAATCTACTGGGGGGTCCAAATCCGCTGTGACACCATGCAACGTGAAATGGAAGATATTGTTTCTTCGTTAATAGCCTTGAAATTATCGTTTTATTTTTTTTTTTTTTGCGAAACGTGATCAATACCCCCACCTTCTTAATACTTTACTGTGACCACGTTTAAGGCCGATTTACACCACACAACTTTTGTCTGAAACTGTCGCATGCAACTTGCTTTACAACTGGAGTTGTACTGTGTAAATCAAGCACACAACGTACTCGCCTACGTTATCTTAGATGAGTTGTGTGCTTGATTTACACAGTATACAATTCAAGTTGTAAGCTGGTTACATGCGAAAGTTTTAGGCAAAAGTTGTGTAATGTAAAATGTAAATCGGTACGAGCCTACGACTAGCACAATGTTAAAAATTCACTGAAAATAATTAATTGTTGGGGTCAGATGACGGATTAACATCATTATTGGAGTCGAAGACAAACGTTTGGAAAATAAAATTTTACGCTATAAGACAATAAAGAGTAAAATATAGACCTGTTGTTTTAAAACTGTAAAGCATAGCTATTTCTGTGAAATAAGACTGAAGAAAATATGAAACGAAGAAGCTAAACGAAAAGTCAGCCAAGAAAGTTCAGCCCTGCAAATGTGGTTTGCCGTTGCCCGGAAACCTGAAGCTTAAGCTTCCTAGCAGGCCAGACACACACAGAGACATGAATAATTTTGGTAAATTCAAACTACATACCTTTTAGCTTGGCTCCTGATTCTTCCTGAATCTGTTGATCAAACTATAGTCTTAGCGTCTTCGCCTCAAACTGTGAACTATCAGTAAGAAGACAAGAAGTTAAAGTACCGAGAAAGTCAATTCATCGCTTGTAGTGTCTTCCGGAAGTATATAGTCTTGATGTTTCCCAAGAATAATTAGAGGGCTATAGTCAATATATGTCTGTGACTGAGAGAGACTATAGCAATGGCCCCTGAAATGTACGCAGGATCATGGGTGGGGAGGGTCACTCGGAGGTTTAGATTACGAAACAATATAACCTGCATTTAATTACAGGTATAAACTACGTCAAGCGTTCCTCTTTCGAGTTCGTAAATAACTTGATTGTAATTTCAATTCCTTATTACTTTCACAAATTTGAAACTCCCTTGCAAATCCCTTGACAGGCCGGGGCAAAACTACTCAGTCTCTATGTCATCGGGTATATCCATGCAAGTTTGTTGGGCAAATTTTGAAAATATTTGAGTGTCTCCAGATTGAAAAGTAATACTTGTAGGAAAAATTTTGATAAATGTATGAAAATATTACTGAAAATGTTTACAAATTACGGTAAATTATTTCGATTTTTTTTACCCTCCCCCAATCACCAACAATTCTGGGAAAAGAAATATAAATTAATATTAATTAGCGACTGAGATGTTCGTCTGTCGAGAACGACTTCGGCCATGCCTTTTTGGTCGTCAAAACAAGTTCACACACTGCAGTCGTAATACCACAGTTTCGACAGGGTGGGTTAGGTTAAACACAATTAAGAAATGAACATCACAATTGTTGTGAAGATAAAATAGTGTTGTGTTCAGTAACATTCCCACTAAATATTGATCCTCAGCGGACGAAGCCAACTAGCCAAGATTACGCGAGGAATGGTATTTTAATTTGTACAAGCCACACGAATCAGTAGGGTGGGTGGGGTGGGCCGTTTTCCAAAACTGTCCACTGGAGAGAAAACTGAGCAAAAGTGACCAAACCAACAGATTTGTTCAATTTATACTATTCCTAATACTATATATGCACACTCGAACCATCCAAGCATGTTTCCCTAGCCTCCTCCGCAGGCATCTCACCCGAGGAATGGGGTGGCTAGAAATTCTTTTTTTCAAAACCCATTCGCAGGCTTAAATCCATGGAGAGGCCTGTGGACACAGGATAGGGTACACAGAAGGCCGACTTCTTGGTTTTTCCTATGATTTCCTATGATTTTGGCGCAACCCGTAATTTGTCATCAAATGCTGATGCCATGGTCATAGACGGATTTTCATATTTTTTACTGGGGTGGTGCCAGAAATTTTAGGGGGTGAGCCGTGAGCAGGTGACTGAAGCAACACAAAGTGTCACCAAACCCCAGTAAGGTCTATATTCTAGGGGTGGAGCACTAGAGCAGCGAGGGGGAGTCTAGAAAGCAGAAAACAAAGTATCCCTGGAAAAAGTTGAAAAAAATCATGATTTCTAGCTTCGAAAGAACGTTTTTTGAAGTTGTCATATCAATGGATTTGGCATGTCCGATTGTCTGTTGAGACTTGAGAGAGTTAAAGTTAAATGAACCTGTAAAAGTGTAAACCCAATAGGCCAATACACAATATGCTTTTACTTTTATAAAGTCATTGACATTGGGTCGTTTGAATCCGAGTACAATTTATGATGCAACTCCGATGTAAATAATATTTGGGGCGTAAAGATTAAATCTAGGCAAGTCTATTTCCTAAAAGAATTAAAAACTAAAAATAATGTTCGTTAAAATTCCAAACGTTCCTTGCAAGCAAGCTATTTGCATGACAAGGCACTGAAAACTCTATTCAGGGGAAATAATTTATTATAGAGTTTCAAAACTTTACAATTGCTCCAATAAACCAGTGAATGCAAGCGAGAAGCGATTAGTTTCAGAGTATTGCACTGTCTTTTTCGATTTGAGTTTACTCTTACGTTTATTTTGTATCATCAACACTCTGCACGTTGGAGTGGACTATTTAATTATTTTTTATTATGCCGAATATTGGGCAGGGGGTTGAAAAATTTTTGGAGGGGTGGACATTTTGTTTGGGGGTTATAACTAATATTGGGGGGTAGCACTCCCCCTGAGCCCCCCACCAACCCCACCCCCAGAAAATCCGTCTATGCCTGTAGTAGTGCCAATAATAAGAAAGCATTGGATTGTTAGGGAGGCAACCACCAGAACAATACAAGGAGAACGTTGAAGTTCTCCTTGTAAAAAACGCTGAAGCTCTCCTTGTATTTTTCAGGTAGTTGTAAGCGGTTACCATATTGAAAAAAATCTATATATCTTTAAAGTTTGTTCGTTCACTGCAACCAGGTATACAGGGTCTTAGCTAGCATTTTATATCTTGGGCGTGTTTCTAAATTTTCAGGGTGCGCCCATGTGTCAATTGCCTTGAATAGCCTTTAAAACACGATTCCAGTTAAGCTTGTTAACAATAGACTATACCTGTGGTTGTTCTATGCTTTTCAACCAAATATGAGGCGAGCATACGCTCATATTTCGCACTGACATTATAATAAATTATTTTAGCACCGCTTGGGGCATTTAAAGCCATTTTAACAACCATACGGTGCCCATTATCCATCAAAACATTAAAACATCACGGATCACTTTTAGCAATTTCAACAACTACAGTAGATTTTACAAAGAAATTATGTATGTTGTAAGTAGGAACACCTTATTTTATGAACCTACATGCACGGCCAAAAATAAATACTGAAGCCGCGTTCATTTCATCTAGCCGTGTTTTTACATTTTTGGCCGCGATAACACGGCCAACACGGCCTTCTAGGTAAGACCCTGCAGGTATATCAGGGGCGGATTTTCTGGGGGGTGCAGGGGGGTGCGCACCCCACCCCCAAAAAAAATAATTCTAGCAGCCCCCCCCCCCGAAAAATTCTAAAATGGCGTGGGTACTGTAGGTTATTATTATTATAGGCTTTATTTAAATAAACTTATACATTTGGTAGTAAGAATACAACTTACTGATAACTTCAACAAATGCAATTATTATATATATATATATATATATATATATATATATATATATATATATATATATATATATATATATATATATATATATATATATATATATATATATATATATATATATATATATATATATATATATTCTACTAAGTATTTATAAAACTAAATATACTACGTAAAAACGTCTGAAGATTAAATATCCAAACGCACATTCAATTTTAGTAAAAAGACCAGATAAAAAGCAACGACTATAAACTAAACTTTGGTGAAAAACAAGGTAGAATACTAAGCCTAAAATTTCAGTGAAAAGGCTAAGAATAATACTGTAAGTCTAAGCTACGAGCGCAAGTCTAACTTTGTCATCAACGGATGTTATGACCACAGTAAAATACTGCCATACACTGCTCAATAAACCGAAGATCAGACAAAAGTACGAATCACTCCACAGAGAAATGTATCCTAGCAAACAAGTTAAACATATTACGCAGCAAATCGATGTTCGTTGGGGATGCAAATACGAAGCCATTGATGTTATATCTGAAAGATTTGGTGTTACGTTGTCCTCACGATCCTGATAGACGTGGCAAACGACCCCGGTGGAAGTGATGAAGATTCAGAAGATGAGTATGGGTATAAGAAATCACAGGCAGAAACAGCAGCTGCGACACAATGCCTATCCACAACACTAGAGGTACAACAGTTACAACTCCCAATGATCAGGGTCATCAGGTAAACTAATGTATTGGAGAACTCAACGCAGAGCTGAAGAAGAAACTCAGCGATGAGTTTAATGTCAGATTTGACTCTAAGAACATAGATATCCCTAGAACTATCAATGCTCTTAATGCAGGTTCAGATACCTACTTGGACTTAAGTGAGCTAGATGTGCTACTGAATACCTTCAGCCGTCTCAACACCAACAGATCTATCCTCGAACTAGAAATCGAAAGAGCTGAAGTTGATTACCGTCTTGGTCTACCAATAAATCCAAAGAGGCTTCCAAACTTGACCGCTTTAATTGTAGTTAAGAACACCATCTCGACATCATTATCAACCACTTCAGTGGAAAGAGCATTTTCCAGCATGAATCGTATCTGCACGAAGCTGCGACCCACCCTTCTTCCAGAAAGATTAAGTGATCTTTTATGCATTTCGTTAAACAGAGATGTTGTTGATTTGCTGGATTTGGACGAAGTCGTAACAGCATGGGGAAACATGCGCAGTAGGTGGTCTAAAGTCTAAGTCATTAACTGACTAACTAGTCTAACTGTATAAAATGTATAATGTACTTATTACTAAATTGAGAACTTGAAAAAAACTATTAATTATTTCATTTATTTATTAAAAACTGTTAGTTTGTTACTATACGATTTTCACGAATTTGAAATATTCTAAGGAAGCTATACTGAGAAGCTATACAACTATATTTTATAACTTTATACTACTATTCATTAATAATTATTAAATAATGATACTTTGCACATATACTGAGCGCACTAAATAATTTAGCAAGTTACTAAAGTACTAGCAGGGCATTTGAGCATTTTATGTCCATCCCAGCTCAGGGACTTAAATACTTGATCAGTTGATCACATGGGCAGGGGTCACAAAACAGGGTTCAAACACTCATTAATAATTCATAAGCTTATTGGCAAATCATGTCAACCATAATATGTCACGTGCAGTGGCTTTAAACCTGATAAAACACTCCTAATTAGTATTCTTTATATAAAGAATACTAATAAGGCAGTATCTATTCTGGTCGTGTCCTCATTAGTATTTTTATATAAAGAATACTAATAAGGCAGTATATCTATTGAATTTGTAGTCGTGTTTGAAGCCGCTTAATAAACTCGCAGGTTGTGTTTTATTAGGTCTAAAGCCACTCGCGCTGCGCGCTCGTAGCTTTAAACCTAATAAAACACTCCTGCTCGTTTATTAAACAGTACGTTATGGCGCTATGCCTAAAAAATATACAACAGCCCGGTCAGCCCCTTTGGTAGCGCACCAATGCAACCCCCCCCCCAGGGAAATCTGCACCCCTCCTGTCAGATGAGCATTGATCCGCCCCTGAGGTATATATCAATCATGTTTCGCACGCTACTCTAGTTTAAATAAATTATTACAAAGCCCAGTCGAATTGTAATCAATACCCAACGTATTGACACTCCAGTCTAGTGTCTTCATCAGGGGTGATCTAAAGTTGCAATCGTGGCCTCTTAAATACCCAAGGGATGACGTCACCTGCCAATGAGATGCATGTATTCCTCTGGCAAATAGGCACGGTCATTCTTATTCAAAGCATGATAGTCTTTGACCATAGCGATTGTTTGTGGTAATTACTTTAGAGTTTTCACACGCAATCTTGCGTGTTTGGTGTAACATACATGTTCGGCTAAAGCTGATTTTCCCTTGTCTAAAGTTTAAACAGCCTTTTGATGTTCTTTTAGCCGTGTACCAAACTGGCGTTTAGACTGACCCAAATACTCTTTCTCGCAGTCACCGCATGGTATAGAATATATAGCATGAGTCTTCTGTTAATGGGTTAACATGAAATAATACCATATTTTCGCAAAGCCAAAAGATCCTGTTGAAACAAATCAGAAGACTCATACTATATATTCTATACCATGCGGTGACTGCGACAAAGAGTATTTGGGTCAGTCTAAATGTCAGTTTGTTACACGGCTAAAAGAACATCAAAAGGCTGTTTCAACTTTAGACAAGGGAAAATCAGCTTTAGCCGAACATGTATGTTACACCAAACACGCGAGATTGCGTGGGAAAACTCTAAAGTAATTACCAAAAACAATTGCTATGGTCAAAGACTATCATGCTTTGAATAGGGATGACGGTGCCTATTTGCCAGAGGAATACATGCATCTCATTGGCAGGCGACGTCATCCCTTGGGTATTTAAGAGGCCACGATTGCAACTTTAGATCACCCCTGATGAAGACACTAGACTGGAGTGTCGAAACGTTGGGTATAAATTGATATATCGATATCGAGAAAAAAATATCGATAATATCGACTATATCTAATTAATCAAATGAGAAAACGTAATTTAGTCAACTTGCATGTATACGCATCACAAACAGTTAAAAAGAAGTGCATGAAACCAGTCATGGTACGTCTCAAAGATTTATTAACGGTTTATCCGTTTCTGAAAATTTAAAGATATATTTACAAGCCTAATGGTTTCTCACGTACGATTCAATACTGCTGCTTGGTGATCTGTGGTAACAGTATTTCTCAGTTTTCGCTTTTAATTTCAATTGCCCATGCACTTGTATCATAAATTCGCAATTGCCACCATATGCACATTGTACTTCACCGGTGAAAATAATAATTGCCGAATAATCGGAGATTAAGTTGTTTAGTTACAATTTTCGATATGCAAAAAATCGAATATCAATATTTTTGAAATATCGATATTTATCGAAAATATTGATATATCGCAACTGCCTACTAGGTGGTTGCATCAATCCAAAGCTTTCTTAGTTTAACTTTAACATATAATCCTCCAGAACTATATATATATGCATGTATCACACTACTTAGTCTTCACTTAAAATATCCTCGTTACAGGGGTGGATTTATAGGGGGGGGGGGGGGTGCACAGGGGTGCGCACCCCTGTAGGCCTTGGTCAACAGGGGTGCAAGAAAATCAAATTCAGAAATATGGCATAATTTCCAAGGTTTTTCGTTTTTTAAAGTCAAACTGAAGCTCATAATTCAATGCCCATATTGCAGGAAATGGCATTTCTAGGGTTCTAATTTTCAAAATGTTCACCCCCTAGGAAGCTTGCGCCTTCGCCACTTGAGTCGTTAGGAAGCAAATTCATTTGAATGCTCTCCCACCACCCCCTAAAGAATTATAAAGAAACACTCGGCTGCTCACCCAGCATCCCCCTAGAAAAACCTTGCTGGATCCACCCCTGCCTTGTTATGTAATGTTCAGTATATAACCTAGCAGATCCTGATGACTAAAAATAGTCAATTGCTACTAAGCCAGAATATTAAACAGCAATGCACCCTAGCTGATGCATCCTACTTTATAATAATTATTATAATTTATTCTACCCAATGTTGTGATCAAGAGACATGGCCAAGAAAACTAAAAGATATTTAATAAAGTAAGCAAATTACAGGCCCAACTACAGCAATAATAAATTGACTTTTAGTTTACAAACAACATGCTTATTTGCGTCTCGTGCCTCCAGGCGTATTGCCAGGCATAAAATGTTCATTTTCATTGTTTTGGATTTTGTTATAATTATACTCTACAGTCTGTCACACAGGAAATGTTGGGTGTTGATGGCTCCCCACAATTCGCACGGGAAGTTTAGCAGGGTCTTAAATCGCTAGACGGCCGTGTTTGCCATGTTGCCACGAAAAAGCACATCAAAATCATAAACCTTACTTGATAAACAGGAATGTTGCTACTAACAACAGAAATTATTTCTCATTGCTCCCAGTTATGTTGTATATATATACAAAAGTTTGCAAAATCTAGTGTGTGGAAACTGGTTAGGTCTCAAAAAACTGCACTGTCCTTTTATCAAGATTTTGAGTACCTACACTTGATAGAACTAATTGTTGAAGAGTTTTGTAGATGCAAATCTGGAGTGTGAATTTTATATATTTATTATACCTAACCATGCAGAACAGTAAGTTGTGAAAAATGCAACTATATAGGCCTTCAGGCAGGAATTGAATCTGCAGCCATGCAATTCTAGTGCAGCTCTCTAACAAACTGAGCTACCGAGTTCAGTTGCCCAGCTTTTAAACTGCAAGGTGACGGCAATGTAAGGTGTATGGATTCCTGCCAGAGGGCCAATAGTTGCATTTTTTGCAACTGCTCCTGGTTTATAGGTCTAATAAATAGGGGTGCACCGGAAGCCGGTTAGTTCTGGCCGAAACCCCGATTTTTTAGAGTTCCAGTTCCGGCCGGAACTAACATAAAAAGCATGGCCGGAACCGGAACTCTGTCGTTTTCTGAGAGATTTGGACTACGGAAGGGAAATGTACACTATTAACACTTCATTATGACGTTTAACGTTTGCCAATCTTTTTATTCTAACATTTGCGAGCTCTCTCCTTGATAACTTGAAGTGTCTGCCTGTCTGGCAGTGGACAAAGTAACATATGACTATATATGGCTTAATAAATTAGTTCCGGTTCTGGTCGGAAGTTCCGGCCGGAACTTTTTTCCAGTTCCGGTCAGATCCGGTTCTGGCCGGAACTTAAAAAACTGGTTCCGGTGCACCCCTACTAATAAAATTCACACTTGAAATTTCCACCTACAAAACCCTGCATCAATTAGTACTGTACCCTTATCTTCTATGAGAAAGTTGGATGTCCTTGTCTTTACATGTTACTGTTTACTTACCTATTACATTGTGTTTTGGACTGAATGGATCAATTACAATCTGATCTCTGTAGCTTCGAAAACCTTGTATTATAACCTATAAACAGTGGGAAACAATGTCTATGGCAGTTCTCACAATTTCACTGATAATGTAAATACTAAAAAGCAATTTTTGCCGGTCAATGGATACCAAATACATATTATTTACTTAATATATATATATATATATATATATATATATATATATATATATATATATATATATATATATATATATATATATATATATATATATATATATATATAGATGACAAAATACAATAGTCGTATCAGCCAGTTCGGCATTTATATACAACAGAATAGCTGGCTACGATTCGAGAGAAACCAATACTAAAAATGTACTAAAGTAATAAAGTTTTAATTTTCGATTAAGTTTTAATTTTAAAGTTTTAACTTTATTACTTTAGTACATTTTTAGTATTGATTTCTCTCGAATCGTAGCCAGCTATTCTGTTGTATATATATATATATATATATATATATATATATATATATATATATATATATATATATATATATATATTATATAGATTTTATACATATGAATGTTGTGGTCTCCAGCTGCATGGTATTTGAGCCCGCAATACTATGACGTGACACTAAACCTTTAATTCTTTTAATATTTATTGTATCTTTGTTTCATTTTTACAGATTCTGAACTTGGAAAAGGAGAATTTGGTAGTGTATGGCTTGCTCATGCCAGCGGAATCGCGGAATTTCGCCCACGAGATATTTTAAAGCAGAAATTTATCCGTACCCGTTTATCAGTTTTGATTCGCACGTTGAGAAGTCGAAATAACAACTACGTTGGGGGAAAGGAAGTCACCGCAGTTGCTGTAAAGAAACTAAAAGGTTAGTCTTGCACTAGCTTAAAAGGAGAAAAAAAGGAAAAATTAACACAAGGGTTAGGGGCATGGGAAGCTTGATAAACTTATGGGGGAAAATTTTGGAGTCTCTATATAGATCGTTGGAAATGGCATTCTCATGCAGAGCCTTCTCTACCTCTTTTGTTAGGCACGTTCATTTTGCCATTTCTAAATTCAACGAAAAGACTCCAACGAGTTGCATTGTGGGCAGGCCATCATTCCTGTTCTGGTGTAATAGTTATTAGAGGATTTTTTTTTATTTAGTTTATTTAGCTTCGCCTTGAAAAAAACGTACATAATACAAGTATACAATAATTCATATACATGAGACAGAACAAGAGGCAGGGACACCACAACATTTTACACCAATTACTGCGGGCCACTGGGCCCTTTAGTTAGAGGTCCCTTTTTGCCAATGCTTCCCCCCTCCTCCCTCTACTCGAAAATCCTTAAAAAATGCCCTGTGTGACCTAGCTTGGCGGCCCTTTGAAAGGCCATGGCAGGTCACCTATCATTGGACATTATTACATGATGTCCTAAACTACAAGTCTACAACCTTTGAAATGGAACACTCAGAGGAGGAATGAGGGTCTTCCCACAATACACTGCGGTTCATTATTTTCAAAATTGAAATTCGCGACCACGGATTGTGAAAAATTGTGGATGGTTATCTTGATTATTTCTCTGAAAATTTTCTATTTTCAAAGCTTAGATTTCAGTAAATATATTAATTGTATATCGAATTTTTTATTTTTATTTTTTAAAATTTCTATATTGCGTTTTAGTGATGCTAATCGCGTATTGTATTAACCCTTTTTACGGGTCAGAGTACAAATCACGAAAGTGGCTTTGATATTATGCAGAAGCTATATCACTTTTTTTCGTGAAAAGTCAAAATAAATCACAGCATCGAATTCAGGAAGAGTTGTTCTATCTTATGATACTTTAAAACCAAAAGTAGCTCGCCAAACTGACGGAGTAATCGCGATTTGAAAGTGAGGTAATTTTTACTGTGTTCTGAAATATTGTTGATTTTCATTTCGTCTTTCTCTCTGAAAAATTTATTTTTTCGAAGGTAACTTTTTATAAATGTATTAATCGTGTATCGAATTTAATTATTCTTATTTTTAAAATATTTTTGTATCGTGTTTTAGTCACCTCAATGGCCGATTGTATTTGGCCTTTTTTTTAATCAGAGCTTAAATCACGAAAGTGACTTTGATCTTATGCCGGAGCTATATTAATTTTTTTTGTGAGAAGTCAAAATAAATCACAGTATCGAATTCAGGAAGAGTTGTTCTATCTTTTGATGCTTTAAAACCAGAAATAGCTCGCCAATCCGACGGGCAACCGCGATTTCAAAATGGGGCAATTTACTATACTCAGTTGTGGGTGGCGGGAATTCAAAACTGATATGGCGCGACTATTTCATTATTTATAAATATATACTTTGAATTCATACATTCATGATAGACTTTGTTGCGATAAACTGTGAGTCATGAAAGCCCCCCAAAAATGTATGTTGTGTAGTCTTCGAATTCAAGTGTTTGGCAGGAAAATGTTAGACTTTTTCTTGCTCTATTTAATTTTGGACAAGTGCATATTGAAACATACATGCAGATTTAATTACATTGCAGTAAAAGAACCATTTTCCTTTCAATCTCCCTAAATATGTTTTCCTTGCATATGATCAGAAGCATATCAGTGACCTTTATTGAAACCTTTTAACATTTTATATTGTATTTTTGAAGTAGCTAAGTACAGTAAATAATTTCTAACACAACTCTATGCAACCTCGTACCCAGGATCTTTCTTTGGGAAAGACCCTGGCTGCGGCTGGTCACGTGCTTCATCAAAAATTTAGCGCCTGAGGGGGTGTGGGGAAAGTATCAAATTACATCAACATGCTTCTAGTGGGATATTCGTTAAAAACATAGATTTTGCGAATTATTACGTTCAAAATACTTGCTAATTTTTGTTTATTTTCTTTGCTTTGAATTTACAAGAACATTGTTACATTCTTACTTACAGTCAAGCCAAGAAACCAAGCGAATCGTTACTCGCAGTGCTCTCTCGTGTTGTTATTCAATGCATGCTCTCTTCACACTCGAGCGCGGTTATAACAAACGTTTGTTGTAATGTTTTTAAAATAGGCCATTACATTTGTCCTTTCTTGTAAACGTTGATACGCTTTGCACCGATTCACTTGTTACTACGCGTCTTGTTTATAAGATTTTTAAAAGAAACAGTATTGTCTAGGAGATTAGGACTGCCCAAATATTAGCAAATGTAAACATTTGATAATAGCCGAACAGAGAAATGTCCATAAGCATAGAGGAAATTTCAGTCATTGATTTATCTGGATTTACTACATAAATTCGTATTCGGTAATTATAGTAAGACTTTAGCCTTTTTCTTGGTCTCTATTAATCATTATATTGTGCTAATATACTATAATCTAGACCAGACCGTCATTTGGCGTCATACGAATAGACATAAATTTTCGAGGTTTCTACTTCTACTAACATTTTTAAAGTTTTCATTGTGAATCACCTGTTTATCTCTAACTCATTAATCATTTGCTACTTATATTTATTTGATAGTGTCAATGTCATATAGTGAATAATGCGTTTACACACAAGCAATCCTGGATATGATATAGACGATGCAAGCTGTCCATTAAAAAATAACGGTATTCTATTTCACAATGCAAAAATTTAAATCTCACTTGTATATATTAAGAATGCATATAAAGCAAAAAATTAAAGCTTATTCATGTCAAAACGAAAGCTGTTTACAAAATTTATAAAGGTGGTGAACACTACTAAACAGTGCTCATTGAAAGACATGTATAATACAGTGACATATAATTTGCCGTTTGACTTATCTTTGGTGTATGATTTTAATACCGTAGATTTTCAACAGACAGCTATACTTTGACATATACCATGATCGTTGGATTCAGCAATGCCAAGGGCCAATTTTATAGTCTTTTGACGGGCTTTAAGTTTTTTGATAAGGCCTTTATATAGATCAACAATCTGGATACAGTTGGCGATATTTCGGAAATCAAAAGATCTCGCTATTTCGTTGCAATTCCACATCTCATCAATAAATAAATTCTTTTGGTCCGAGTATCAGGATAAACTTTAATACTAAATAAATAACAACCACACTGTTCGGTCTAGAGATATATATTTCCTTGTAGGTTTAATCACAGTTTAATATTGCCACGCTGCACAAGCGGCAAGCGTGCTTTCTTTGGCAAGTCTATAATGAAATCTGATCCAACTTGCTTGAATTGTAACTCGACACCAGATTATAGAGTAGAACGTCACGACATAAATATAATTCAAGAGTTCTCTTTATAATTACGATTTCTTGTTGCAAATTTAACAGTAAATTTCATCACCCAAAGTTGCAATTTTAAGACGCTACAAACACTCTCCTTTCCCACCCCTCTCACAGTTACAATTAAATTTACCTCCCAGAATCTGGGAGGCACGTGACCAGCCGCAGCCAGGGTCTCTCCCAGATGACAGACGGAGAGACCCTGGGAACGAGGTTGCCATATGGCGTCATTCTGGCGTCAGCAAAGGCCGAAATCCGCCATGTTTTTGCGGACACTTTTTGATGCCGAGCACGTCCTCCAGTAATATAGTATAGCTCAGTGTTGTTTATGGACATGGCTGCTCATTTCATATTTCATGTTATCTGATGTTTCTAAATGGCGGATAGCAAGACAGATGTTGCCCATACACTAGCTGATGCCTTGCAGAAAATAGAAAATATATTATCAGATGATCGAAATCAGGGACATTATTTAACAGAAGAAGCACTTTATCAAAATGGCTGCGACGATCCTGTTGACTTACCTGTGAAAATAAAGAACCTAACCATTGAACTTGGGTCATGTGTTAAACGTTTAGATCCGTCTCAAAACTTTGATAATAAAATAACTATTCCGGTAGATACCGTTGACATATTGGTAAAATGGTTACAAGAGTTTGAAGTAAGTAAAAGGTGTTTGATTTAAGTGTTAACATGATCTGTTATTATACTTGTCAACATGTCAACTTTGACAATATTTCATTCACAGCCAGAGAATAAACAACAAATACTAAATCATGATACTTCGGGAGAACTCCACAAGTGTCGTAAAACGATTTCACGGCTTGAAAATGAGAAAGATTCACTTTTACTCCAAGTCAGTGTATTAACTGATCAGGTTGAAGTACAAGGAGAAAAAATGAGAGAGCTCGAGTTCTTGAGAGATGAACTACAAATTAAATTGACAGATTTGGAGGAAACTGTTAAGGAGGTATTTACTAGTTCTCCATGACTCCTCTATATTGCATTGATATTCATATTGGAATATTAACATGAAATATCAGTATCAGTAATTTGTTGCCTATACAACCGATATTTGTCTGTGCATACACTATTGGCAACATGAAATGTAGGATCAATAGACCCTTCTGGAAAGTATGTCACTTTGGCTATATATAGATCCTCAGTTTCGTGATTGAGATGCTTTGATTTACCTAATGTCACATTCATAGAAACAAGGCTCTTTGGCCAAATGACATACTTTCCGGAAGGGTGTATTGACGTACTGTATACAATCCCCTACACAATCTAGCTAGTGCACAACAGAACTGCCCCATTCATTTAAGGCGATTTTCCACTAGGCGAAATTTTTCGATTGAACCGAAATTTCTGTTTAGAATCCATCTGAGTGCTTGTAAGACAAAAGAAAATTTCGATTTGGTCGAAAAATTTCACCTCGTGGAAAACCGCCTTTAGGTTTGTCTTTTATTTTTGCGAGATTGTCCAATTCATAAATTTAAGTCATCCTGAGTAAATATAACAGCATTTATTAACCCATTAAGTTGCATTGCACTCTAATGTACCCTACTTTATTATTTTACTCTGTCTAATACCAGATGGTTTTACTTGTCAAGGGGAGAGTGCTGGCATTCAATGGGTGACAGAATAAGGCAGCTCAATATTGTAGTATAGTATTAACTAATTAGGGACCGTATACCTCAATTGATCCAAAGAATATTTATTGTTCATTTTGCAAATGAAGGAACAATCAGTTTAGCACAAATGCATGACATAATATAATTTACTTGAATCAGTGCAAATGCTTTGCCAGATGTACAGTCTTGTCTATTTTTTTGTTTACTATACATGTTTGCTTTTTTGAATTTGTAAATTGGAGTGGACATGTAGCTATTATACTCATAAATGCAATTAGCACAAAACATCCAGACATCAAAAACTGATGCAAGGCAAGATACACAAGAATGAATACACCTGTAAAAGGCATAAAAGACTGCATGAGTGAATTACTGAATTCTGGAGAAATGCAAACACTGTCAAGAATAGTGTGCTGCCTCACTATGCTCAGCAGCAATATAAACAATAAACAATTATTCAATGAGCATGATATCAAGAATTATTCAGACCTAGGTCAATGTTATGTGCCAAAGTGAAGCTGAGGCTTAGATAAGTGCAGGTAGACCAGTTCACTGTTTCACACCAGGGACCGGTTGTATAAAACTCTTAATCACTTTTTTAATCACTATTTTGTAGTTAAATAGTGATTAAGTCTCAAATACACGCTTCTGATTGGATGACGTTTGCACTTAATTATTAGTTAACTTTAATCACTTTTTTATACAACCGGCCCTAGTTGTTTAGTGGAGTTCCACAGCTTAGATCAGTTCAAATCCACATAGTTCCATCAACCCACATCAGGCCTGTTAGAGAGCGAGAAAAGGGGACAGGGAAGGGATATTCATGGAAGTCTCTAGCAGAAGCTCTATACAGTGGCAACCATGGGGTGATGGCCTTTCTAGCACAAATCTGTGATCAATTGTGACTATTTAGATACAGCACTGCTTTCCCTGATCAGGGAACAGGGTGAGAAAAGAAGCCCTAAACATTATTTGCTCACATTTGAAACAAGGCTGCCGCTGTCTGCTAATCAAGTAATTCACCCCTAGATCACGAATCCAGTAATTCAGATCTAGTTCACGAACAGTAAGAAACTCAATCTCTGCTCTTGGAATGTATACTAGAATGCAAAACATCACATATCTCTATTGCACTGCAGAACTTTGACATAAACTGGTTCTTGCAGGTTTATCACAGGCCGTCGTTTTTACAGACCATTGTGTGATCCGTTACGAGTGTAATGCATTTGTTGAAATTCCAAAAACAAAGAGTCAAAATTTGTTTACAACTACAAAAAGGGCAACTTTGAAGGTTCATGTTCCTCCTTATCTACCATTGACTTAACTTTGTGCATAGAACATGACAATATTAACGACGATTGGAAATCTTGGAGAAATACTTTTCTTGGCGCTGTTTCGAAATATGTCCCATGCAAAAAACTAAAAGGACGAAAACAACTGTCCTGGATAAACGGAACGATCTACATCTGATTAAGAAAAAGAACACTGTGCGGAAAAAAGTAAGATCGTCCCCAACGAGTCATCTACGTGAAAAATTTAAACATCTACGTGCCACGATTAAACGTATATGTTACGCGACAGTCGAGAGCAATTTTATGTGTCTTTGGGGAACAACTTCCAAGAGAATCCAAAACGATTTTGGTCCGCAATGAAACATCAGTCCAAAACGCGCAATATCCCAGATACAATCTCTACAGCTGGAACAAAGAACGATCAAGAATCCCAGTCACCCAGGATCAAAGTTGACAACCCTGATGATATCACGTCCATGTTTAACAGCTACTTTGCATCAATATTTGACTCTGATGACTCTTTGAGGGAAGAAACCAGCCATGAACTCGAGATGCCAGTCTTGTCTGAGATCATTCTGACAGTTGAGGAAATTCAGGCAGTTCCTGAAACACTGCCTGTTACAAAAGCCACAGGACCTGACAACGTCCCAGCCCTTCTGCTCAAAGAAACAGCTCCTGTTATTTCAATGTCTTTGTGCACGCTTTTTAATAAGTCCCTAAGTCAAGGTGCTTTCCCAGAAGACTGGAAAATCGCCAACATATTTCCTGTGTACAAGAAAGATGAAAAGGAATATGCTGAAAACTACCGGCCAATCTCACTCCTTTCAATTGTGTCGAAAGTTTTGGAACGCTGCGTCTTTTATAACATCAGGGAGCAGCTGTACCAGGTAATTAAGACCTCGCAGCACGGATTCATTAGAGGAAAATCATGCATTACCAATCTTCTCGAAGTTCTCAACTATATTGGCTCGATTTTGGGTGTTGAAGGTCAAGTCGATGCTGTGTATCTTGACATGTCTAAGGCGTTTGACAAGGTAAACCATAAACATCTTCTGCACAAATTACGAATGGCTGGATTTAGAGGTAGTCTCTTGCAGTGGTTTCAATCTTATACCTAACCAATCGCCATCAACGTGTAACTGCACAAGGTTCCACCTCTACTACCCTACCAATTACATCAGGTGTACCTCATGCGTCTATCTTCGGTCCAGTCCTATTCAACCTCTATGTCAACGACCTTCCACATACAATTACATCTAGCCAGGTTGCTATGTTTGCTGATGATACAAAACTGTTTAAAAACATCAAAGACAGCGAACAGCTTCAAAACGATCTCAAACATTTAGAAACTTGGTCAGAACGTATAACAATAACAACCAATAACATTTAATTACAAATTTATTTATTTTTTTATTTATTTATTAGTTTCGCCATATTACAATACACAAAACTATAACAAGAACAAGAATAATATGCATGACTATAGGCAGGGTGACCGCAACAGCGTGAGCTAATTACTGCGGGCCCGAATTAGGACATACAAACATAAAAATATAAATAATAGCAGCACTTAAGAGACTGAACCAGAATTCTGAACCAGAGTTCGAGCGGTATAACACTTGGTACATATAGTTTTGAATGTTCTTGGATTTTCAGGATCGTAGGAAATTTCCAAAGCACGGAAGTAATAACTTAGAATAGTAGATTTAAATGATGTCATGTTAAGTTTCAGTTCGTCAGCTGGGCTGTTCCACACCCTGGTTGTTCGAATTAGAAACGAGCGTTTATGCGTCGTTGTTTTGTTCCTGTCATTACAAACTTAGGTATGTCCGTGTTTATAGACGATCTGATCGGTCTGGCGCTTCGGGTTTTTGGTACTACAGAAGGTTCTATTATTACCAGATTGTTCACCATTTTAAAGAAAAAAACCAAATCTAAAAACTCATGCCAGTAACATAAGGAAGTAATGATAAAGATTGTAATCGCGAGGTATAACTGCCTGGACTGGAAAGCGGCAGATTGGGAATAAATTTCGTGGCACGTCTTTGAACTTTTTCCAATCTTGCAATTAGGTTGATGGACTGTGGCGACCAGATCTGGGTGGCATATCCTAAGTGAGGGCGTACTAATGTTAAATACAATGCCCTCCTCACGCTGGTGTTTTGAATGAACCGTGCGTTCCGTTTGATATAACCTAGCAACTTGTTAGCACGGGAAGATTGTTCTACTACTTGATTATTCCAGGTGAGATAGTTGACATCCAGACGCCAAGATGTCGTTCCGATTTTGTTATTTCTAGAGTTTCACCCTTCATCTTGTATGTAGTCGCCACTGGCTTCGTTTTACGAGTGATAGACAGCGACCGACATTTACTTTGATTAAAGGGGAGACCGGAAGTCGAAGACCAGGATTCTAAGTTGGATAAGTCCTGTTGGAGTAATTTCGTATCGTTTATTGATGCGATAGACTTAAATATTTTCGTAAACTTAGTACCGACTGAATGTGAACGAGATCTCGGTGTTTTTGTGATAAAAAGTTAACCTGGAACAGACAGGTGTAAGAGCAGTTGGAAAAATCAAATACACCTTTGCGTTACGGCATCAGAAGATCCACACTGTATATCCACAACGAGGAAGTGAGACGCACATCATACCCTGCACTAGTTCGGCCACACCTGGGGTATGCTACCCAAATATGGGCACCACAATCCATCGAACTAATACGCCACCTTGAACGAACACAAAGAAGAGCAACCAAATATATCCTCAGTCTTCCATTTTCCTCCACTGACTAAACCGCCAGACTTCAAACCTTAGGCCTCTTACCGATCTGCTATTGGCATCAATATCTAGACATGGTACTCTTTTATAAAATAACTCACAAACTAGTAATCATCGAAGCATCACTACATCTAACTATCCGCACTTCCACATCCACTATAGATCCTCCGCCAATAACAGTCCTAAGTTCGTTGTGCCAAAACGCAAAACGGTAACATATCAAAGATTTTACATGATTCGGGCAACTCGAATAAAATTATGGAACCATCTCGTTGATGAACTTAATTTGAATACGGATAGTCTGTCGTCATTTAAGTCCGCAATATTTAAGTATCGTCATTTAAGTCCGCAATGTTTAAGTATTATATTTCCTCTTTGTACTTGTGTTACGATGTTGAGGATCCTCGTAGTTATATGAAACTATATGTCCTAAGTGTAATTCTGTTCGTAGTCTCACAGCGTCATTATTATGCTGTATGTAGGAACTGTTAGTACTGTTCTTTGTTGTTTAATTTACTGTATGTATTGTTGTAATCCTGGAAATCTCTCAGGGATGCTGCTACCTATGTTACATTCTTGGAAATCCTCAGACTAACTATGACGGTCAGCTTTATTTGCCTTGGCAGTACTGATTGAAATGAACGCGTTATATATACCTAACCAGCGTTCATTTGTTGTTACATTAAACGTAGAACAAGCACCATGATCAGGGGCCGGTTGTATAAAAACGTAGTTAGCGCTAACTGCAGTTAAAAAGTAGTTAACTCTTTTTCGTTCGCTGCTGAAATAACCAGGAGCCGTTGTATAAAACTCTTAATCACTTTTTTAATCACTATTTTGTAGTTAAATAGTGATTAACTCTCAAATACGCGCTTTTTATTGGATGACGTTTCCACTAACTATAGTTAACTTTAATCACTTTTTTATACAATCGGCCCCAGATGTGTTAAGATTCGTCACTAAAAAGATTGCATTCGTTAATATCAGGATTTTGGACATTCCTGCACTAATGTTGAAGGAATTCGTTATTCGATCTAGATATTTAAAAGCCTTTGACAGAACGGCAAAAGCCACGTGAGAATTAGTGCATTCACAATAGATTAACACTAATTAATATGTAATTTTTTTGGGTAAGAGAACAAGTTGCAATGTTTTTCAGAATTCCTTTGGATTTGTGATCCTTATGTGCTCACCAAGATGGCGCTTGAAACAGTCACGCCGTTGTTTCTGGAGCTTGCTTATAACGTTGCCTGTATAACCCTCATATTTCACGATCACGGGAGCAGCCTCGCTTGTGTACACAGTTTCGTCTTCTCCGTAACCTTAGAATAGAGAGCTTAAGATGTGATAAATCTTGTAGTACGCGGACGTAACACAGAACATTCCCTAAATTCGCAGTGTCAGCAACACAGGTAACAAATACGGATTATTTTTGTCAACAAAGAAGGATACAGATGAAAAACAAATTTATACTGGTAACAAATCCAAAAGAAAAGCATAAATAACTCTCTTTTTGTCACGTCCACGTACTATTTCTGGCGGATTCTCTTTCTAGGAGGAAGTGTTATCTAGGTTATTTGTAAACAACCTTTGCGAGTCCTCTAATGTAGCTCCTTATGTCAGACCTCGTCAGGTCATTATACATTAATAAACAACAATAAAACATTAATGGTAAAACGATTGAAAAATATCAGGTGAAGCACGTTGTATGCATATACATCGTGAATGATACACATTACACATTGGAAAAAGATTTGTGTAAAGGTCGTGTATCATCCCATCATGCATCGCGAGTTGTCTATGATCACATGTCTATCCGTGGTGTACACTTCATGACATTTTACATCGCATCGTAACCGTTTGACGCTAATAATTGCATGGTTTTCTTCAGAATTTTTTACTGGGTCCGTTTTTTGTACAGAAGATTGAGTTTACCAAGCAATGAGTCTTGGGGCATATGTTATCCGCCCTCCAGATTCACAATTGTAGCCTTTACATGCCTTTGATTTAAATGTAGTGAGTTAAACATGGTACATAACACGTGTATGCACGTTCTTGTTCGTTGTTTGTGATGTTTTTCTTGCATCTTGAAATGATATTCATGCTGTGTGTTTGTTTTTCCATGAGAAAAACTATTTCTATGTCACAAATTTAACCCTTCATCTACTGCGACTGCAACTTTCGATGGCACAACTGAGTTTCAAAACTCAACTCAAGATAGACATACATCACATATTCATATAACATGCATGTTTAGGTATGTTTTAAGTATAGATTTAGATAAAAAGGGACATGTATAGCGCACGTATAAGGAAGCAAAAAAACAACTTTAAAAGTCTTATGTTTTGTAATATGTGTTGAAGAGTACGACAAACTGACACAAACAGTGTCAAACACAGTTTTTAATTCAATCTGTGTTGATAAAAACATCGCTTGCTTAGGCTCCCTAATGTTGTATAAAGTCGCATGTTATAACATTGCAAGTTTTTCTTTCTCATTGGTCACTACACTACCATCTCAAAAACCATCACTAAAAGTCCCACACTGTAAATTTCAAGGAGTTGAATCAACTTCAAAAGTATGATTCTTTCACCGTTCTTGATGAGAGATAACACTTTTAGAGTTAATTCAACTCTTGAAATTTACAGTGTAGGTATCTATAAGTGTATACACCTACTATAGATATTTAGGGTGCGATAATTCGAGATTTTTAGTCGTACCTGACTGGTATTCTAATGACTATTGCTTCGTGCTTGAGCTGGTACAAACTTATACATAAAGTACAGGTTTGTGAAAGGTATTTATTCAATAACTTGAAACTACAAGTTAGAACGAGGACGACAATTACATTCACAAAACACCAGAATTGACTCCAACATTCCCATCAGCCCGGTCATATTTCATGCCCAGACATGTCAGACGTACTTATATACCATTATGTATACGGTTTTGAATACCTTGGCCTTGGTAAGGTTCTATGATACCAGCAAAATCCAAGTGCGCAGATAGCAAGAGTTCCGCGTACCTGCGTTGTTGAAAACAAAGAAGTACCAGACCGTATGGCATACTTCCGGTACATATAAAGTAGGCAAATTATCGCACCCTGATGTTATGTGTTGACGTTTCGTTTGGCGTTTCGTTTGAAGGATTTTTGAAATAGAAGACGAAGGACCTTAGTTCCCGCATCCATGTCAGTGTCTGTAATTCTGGCTAGTGGTAACGGTAATGAAAATTAATTTTTAATTCCAAATTGACTTTATTTTTCCAGGCTACGACTGAAAACAATTCTTCAAAAGGCATGGTCTCTGAGGTGAAAGTACTGAGTACAAATGGAACAAATGATGAAACTTGGACATCTAAGGTAATTTGTTGTCCTTTGTGAATTTTGATTTGTGCCATGCAGTCCTACATTACCCACCTTCTTAGTTTATAAATTCATTTGTTAGTTTCTATTCATAACTGATACACTTATATGAAATACATGCAATAACTGGATTTGATATTCTTTACAGTTAAATGTATTTTATTATATTTTCCTAAAAGGGATGTTACACCGGAAAATTTTCAACGACACTCGTAATGCAATTAACATGTTGGTTAACAAAATTATTAGTATTATCATTGAAAACAGTTAAAAAATTATCCCTATGGGAAAACGTGTATTTTGTCGAGCAACAGAAATATTTGTGACAGGATTTAAAACTTACTAGAGTCCGAGAGAGGTACTGATTTCTTCTTTAAAGAAGTCGTACACACTTTTTTCATATACATGTACGTACATAAGCACGAAATGAGCCAACAAAACTGTATAGATCTTCCCCTTAAGGTGGCTCGACATCGTTGTCAAAACGTCAGGCGTATAATAGTTTGACAGTTTTAAACATCCTATTTTTAGGTTTTATGCACCAGATATCAGGATGTTCATCTAATGTTTCTTTTTTCACATTATGTCAGTTTTGGTAACACATAGTTCGTTACTATGGCGACACACTCGTACGAAAATCACTCTAAAATAACCTATTGCTTTGTTTATAGTTGGAAAAGAAGCACGGTGACCCCCAATTTTTGCACTGTTTTACTTACAACATAGCCTATAAACAATAAGAAAAAAAATCAGAAAATTGCCATTTAAAAAAATAACATAAAAATGTCGTTTTCTGCGATAAAACATTTTTGGCATTGCATTTTTTTGGTATATTGAAAGACTTTTGCAATGTTTTTTTTTAAAAAAATTGACATTCCAAATGACGTCAGCAATTGGCATGCAATGCGTTATAAAACAGGTACAATGGCGCGAGATGGCGTGAGCAAGTCGCCACGTCAGGTTATGGGAATGGAAGCCATGCCTGTATATTTAGTTTTTTTGCAGGTAGCCAAAAAAATTTTGCGATTAGTTTGTGGAAAATTTTAAGTATTTTCTTAGTTAGTATGCATAAAAACTTCAGAGTTCAGACAAGGATTGCAGTTAGCTTCAAACACTTGCAGGTAGCGCCACTACCTAGGATACCCTGTTTTGACAGGCATGGGAAGCCCCTTCTTTAATACTCCCGGACACATGAACGGTCACGCGGACCTGTTCATATAGCATAACATTTTGTTTTCACGATTCTTGTATAAGGGATTTTGTATTAAATAATATATGGAGCCACCTTAAACAGATCTTATTCTCTATCGAATAATAAATTTTTTCCCATTGTGATTACGTATATTCCAGGACAACGATATGAAAAGCGAGATAGCGAAGAAAGATTTAGAAATTGAAGATTTAAGAACTCATCTTGAAACTTTACTTGATGAAGAAGAAAGAGAAAAACGACTTTCATCTTGTAGTGACTGTAAGATTCACTATATTGTCTTTTGTTATCTATGCTAGCGTGGTTTATTTACAACTACAAGTCTTAATTATTACCCTGGGTGCCAGAGGTTCTTCCACGCTCGTAGGGAGGATAATGAGGGATACACGAGGATTCAAGCTGGGAAGCGGCGAGCGGGAAGAACTTCTGGAACACTTCTATGGCTTTTACTGTTTTAACTGTCACATGTCAATCAAACGTTAGCCAATAGGACACGTATTTATTTTTGACTGATGATGATTTGGGCGTGTTCAACCGAACATTTAAGCGATGGAAATTGCGACAGATTAAAATTAGCGAGTCTTTATAGTAAAATAAACCCGCGAATAATATTATATGGCCACATGGCATTAGACCGTACACCTGTTAAAAGTGTTACAAAAAAGCGGAGACGAGTATATTGTCGAATTTGTGGTGAATTTGTTATTCACAGTGGGTATTTTAGTATATACAGTAAAAGGATCGTCGCCTCGGTAGATTGAACTTTGAAGCATTTCTTGTTCATCATATAATACAATATATTTCAAATGCAAAGCACATACATTTATACACATACATTCGATCTCGGGCGGCCGAGTTAACAAATACCCGAACATCTTTTGTTTAATATGGTAACTATTCATCTCGCCGAAGGCAATATCTCGCCTCTTTCTGCCGGGAACTCGTCACTGGCGAGTTTATACTCTTTAGTACATGTAAACAGTCCCCCGGGTTTACTACTGTACAGTGGCGTGCTGGCACGGGGGGCCACGGCACGAAGCGATCACGGGAATTATGCCCTTTTTTGCTGGTATTATACCCTTATTCTTATATTATGCCCTTTTTTATGCTTCACGAATCACGAGAGTGGCGCAAATTAGATAGTTGAAGTTATGATAACGTAAAGTTGTACTAGTTGTGTACGCAATTTAGTTGTTTGCGCAAGAAACATCATGAGTAATGTAAGTAATGAGATAATGCTGAAACGCGCCCTTTTGGCAGCCTTAAAATGCGTATGCGTGGGGTCCGTGTGTTATTGTATAAAAGAGCTGTTAGGGGCTGAAAACCTTCCCTGGGCCACGAAAATCTTCCTTGGGCCGCAAAATGAGTTTTAAATCGGGTTTAGGATGATTTTGCATCTATACTAAACCAATTATTTATCGCAAATTTATTTTACGCGAGTTTTAAAACCACAGTAAGGTCCTAAACAAACGAGTCAGCCCGGTTAACCGGGCCAGCTCGGCACCATGTAATCAGCCCCTAAGTTGTAAATGTATTCAGATAAGTAGAGACTGAATATATAAATTGGGATTAGATTAATTGTTGGAAGTAGTTAGCATTTCCCAATTTAAGTACTACTACCGCTAACTTCTAACCAAATTGCAAATTTCGACACGTTATAATCCCGTTTCCTGACCATCAGATTTCTGTCAAATCTTCCCCCAAAGTCCAGGAAATGGCATTTCAGAGACTCTAACATTATAAGGGCGCATATCGGTTGCCAGCCCACTGCCCCCCCCTAGAAAAAATAGTACCCAGCACGCCACTGCTACTGTATAAGTTTCTATAATATAGCCGGGATCTTGTCGTTGACGAGTATAAACTCGACTTGCCGGGTAATTCGCCTCGATATAAATAAGCCTATAAAGACTCCCATCTTGTCTTGACATGCTTGATTACTAGACAGCCACGCACACGAAATTCCCTCTTGGCAATATAGCAAACATATCACGGCGATGCATTAACTGAAACACAGAAACAAGGCATCATCTTGATGTTTATTTAGTTTTGTAACACCGTCCAGTAAAAAAAATCAAAATCGAATCAACCGCGACCGAGTTGTTGAAATCCTCTCGCAAGACTCGCAAAACTAGAGTCATATATATTTACGCCTGACTATGTTATAAATATAATATTATTATATTAAACAACAGCGTATGCCCGTACGGATTCTGAACGATAATATCTTGAAGGACATACGGTTCAAACAGCCAATGAAAGTCATTGTTTTAACAAGTCCCTGCCGTTAACCAATTAACACTGTGATCCAGATTCTGGATCACTTCACACTATTAGGCATCGTGATTGGTGCGGTTCGATCTGAGAAACCATAGAAGTGTTCCAGAGGTTCTTCCCGCTCGCCGCCGTCCAGCTTGAATCCTTGTGTATCCCCCTACGAGCGTGGAAGAACCTCTGGCACCCAGGGTAAGTCTTTATTTAAACTAGTAGAAATCCCTCAGCAGAGGTCGGTCTTCTACTACAACTACCAGCTTTCATTCAAAATCTTTGTAAATCAAAAGCTTTGTGCAGTCCAAACGTACCCAATTAAACCCAAAAGCAATTAAACCCAAATGCAAATTATCTGCTTCAGGCTTTGAGCTAGGATTCTGAAAGTGGGTGGCCAATTTGGGCGACACCTTTGGAAAACCTTTCAATTTTGCATCTCTTAAACGTACAGTATTAATGTTTTACAGTTCTTCGTGTCAGCATCTACAAAATTTATTAAAGTACAATCAATTTTCCTTTTCCCCAGAATTTTGAGCGTCCATGCTCAAAGGCGTCTATTTTTCGTTGTAAGGTTCCCCTTCTGGCTAAAAGCCAGCTCTGCTTCCAAATGTTTAGAAATTGCTACAAATGTTTCACTGTCCCGTTTTTATTTTTTTATTTTTAGCTGGAAATAATTTAAGTATGAAAGTGCAACTTAGAGAAAAAGGTAGTAGCACGTATGATTTACTTTGTACAGTGTATGTCGTGTAAAGTAGTTGAAGTATATTAATACTATAAAGTTACTGGTAGCATCCTTGTATAGGATGTACGATGCTGCATGCCTGTGTTTGTATATTGAGTCGCCAACTTGAAATCAGAAAAAAAATTCGTTTGTGTATATTTACAGTAGGTCAAATAATTGCGAAGAAATTAAGGCCTCATTTTGTGTCCTGTAGAACGGTGGAAAATTTGATAAATTTAAGGGGCAACAAAAAGTGTGATTAACCATTTCTTAAAACATATAAACACGTTTTCTGGTTTATGAGCCTATACTTACTGTATACTTTGGAGCGAAATGTTTGTGTTATATTCCAATGAAGAAAGTTCTTGAGAAATAGTTTTAAATTTCGTAATACCCTACTCATATAGACTGTATAACATGACATTCTCTTTTCTATTGTGATTCAGCATCAGAAGTGAGTAGATTGAAAATCAAGACAGAAAAACTAAAAGAAATATTAACAGAAAAAGAAAGACAGATAGAAGATCTAGAGAAGCGACTTCATGTAAATACCTCAAGTGTAAGTCACACGTGGAGTGTATATGTAATATATTGCCCAAATATTCTCTCATAATTGCGAGTTGTGATCACCAGGGGCCGCTTGTATAAAAAGGTAGTTAAAGTTATTAGAGTTAGTGCGAAAATTAACCAATCCAAATCGCGTATTTTAGAGTTAACTATACTATTTAAATACAAAATTGTGGTTAAAAAAGTTGAAGAGTTTAGAGCCTGGTTTCCATGTGGTCGTAAAAATAGATCTTTCTCAACGGCCAGTGTTGGGAACGAACCCAACCGAATGTCGTTTATATATCAAATAATAATCACCACGTCATTACACTTTATTTACTCTCAAATTTAGTTTATTCTAAGCAGTACATCATGACAAATATCTTGTACATATCAAATATCCATGTATCATTCTGTCCTCGATTCTGTCCGTATTTCGACTAATATCGGTCGTAAACAAAGGTTTGCTACATAGAATTACAAATAACGTTCATTAACAACAAGTTCAATTGTTTCAAAGTCAAAATGAAAGAAATACTTACATCTTATGGCGATTTTAAAGCAGATTACGTTTGTATATCTATCACGAATATCAATAGTTTTCCAAAAAGCCTCGCTCGCGAAGACTGGCCCTAAATTAATTATGCTAATGTCAACAAACGGCGCGAAATAATTAGATTAATTATAGTAGCGTCCGTAACATCCCGGCCCCCCAATGAGCGTATCACGTTAGCTCATTTATCACCTTTATTCGTCAGCCTCCAGGAAGCACAACTTCTGAATTGGACGTTTCAAAACATTGTTTTTCGTTTTCACTTCGGCGACTCTGACAAGACCATCCTTTCCAGGAAACACCTTCGTCACTCTTCCAAGTAGCCAATGTCCTCGTTGAAGTTTCTCGTCTACCAGGAGTACAAGATCACCAACTGCTAAATTTCGTTGTGGTGTAAGCCATTTTTGTCTTTGTTGTAAAGTTGGTAGATACTCATGTAACCACCGTTTCCAAAAATGATCGCTCAAAATTTGTGATTGTCTCCAACTCTTTCTGCTATACAAATCAGCATCGTCAAATTTTCCAGGAGGTAGAGTAATCGCTGGTCTTTGAAGTAACAGATGATTCGGAGTTAACGGCTCCATGTCCCGAGGATCGTCCGAGTTCGGGCACAGAGGTCTGGAATTGGCAATCCCTTGGGCTTCAGATAACACCGTTCTCAAGACTTCTTCTTTAACTAATGTCTTTCCTAGGATAGCCTTCAACGATTGTTTAACACCACGAATCAGTCTCTCCCACACTCCCGACATATGGGACGCTAATGGCGGGTGGAAAATCCATTCTACTCCGGTTTGTCTTAAATGCTCTTCAATCTGATTTTGATTCCACCTTTCTAAAGCTTCACGTAACTCGCGCTCTGCGCCCACGAAATTTGTACCGTTATCTGAACGCAGTTGTTTAACGCCACCCCGAATGTTTAAGAATCTTCGTAACACCATGATGAATTCATCGGTTTCTAGAGACTGGGCTAGTTCTAGATGTATGGCTCTCGAGGCCATACATACAAATATACATCCATAACGCTTGGCAGAACCCCGTCCGTGTTTTACCATAAGTGGTCCGAAAAAGTCAATGCCCGTGTTTGTAAAGGGAGGTTCGAAAGGAGTAAGGCGAACCTTAGGTAACTCTGCCATTTCTTGGGTCATCCGTACTGAGTATCTTTTCCTACACGGTATGCATTTGCTGATCACTCGTTTAATAGTCGCTCTGCCCTTAACGATCCAAAATTCTTCTCGAAGTCGAGATAACAACTGCTCTTGTCCGCAGTGTCCAAGTTGTTGGTGATTAAAACGAATTATCAAGGTTGTAACATGGTGATTCTGCGGTAAAATCATCTGATGTTTACTGTCAAACGTGCTTGGTGCTTCTGATATTCTACCAGAGACCCTTAGGAGTCCGTTCTCGCCTAGCATGGGCTTAAGCTTCACAATCGAACTCGATTTCTTCACACGTTGACCGGTTTTATCCTTTCTTTTAAGATCTTGCAATTCTTCCGGAAACGACTGGTGTTGAACAAGTGAAACAATCGTTCGTTTAGCTAAAGTCAGGTCATCCACGGTTAAAGTATTGCATTCTAAACGTTTGCCATTTTTCAACCAAGCTTTGTACTTGCATAGCCAAGCCACATATTTAAGTAGTTTCGACCAGTCCGAGTATCTTTCGAGGAGTTCATAGAGCAGAGGGCTTACAGTCGTCTGGAGGCGAGTCGCACAAGTCGTTTTCTTCCTTTTGATTTCCAGTTCGCTGTCGGGTATCTCTTGAATTGGCTCATCGGGCCATGTATCTCTGGGGTTCGAAAGGAACTCTGGACCTCTTAGCCATCGCTCTTGTTCTATGTATTGCTGAGGGTCCAAACCGCGAGAACAATCGTCCGCAGGATTCAAACTTCCTGGACAGTGCCGCCATTGACTCGGATCAGTTGATTCCCGAATTTCGTTTACTCGGTTAGCTACGTACGTTTGAAATCGTTTCGTCGTGTTGCGAATATACGACAATACTATCATACTGTCCGTCCAAAAGTACGTTTCATGTATGGTTATATCGAGCTCATCTTTAATCATCTTATTCATTCGTACAGCTAATAATGCACTTTGCAATTCGAGTCTTGGAATCGTGGGTGACCGAATGGGAGCATTTCTCGACTTTCCCATGACAAACGAACAGTTAATAGTTCCGTCGCTGTAGATGATGCGTAGGTACGACACGGTACCGTATCCAATCTCCGAGGCGTCACAAAAATGGTGTAACTCGACAACAGCATCGTCATGATCTGGAAGTCGGTAGAAACAACGAGGGATGCTTATCTGAGTCATCAATGGTAAAAGTGATTTCCAATTAATCCATGATTTCAGTAGATCGTTCTCCAGGAAATCGTCCCATTTCATCTTCCTCCTCCAACACACTTGGAGAATTTGCTTGGCAGGTAAAAGAACTGGTGCAGCAAATCCCATTGGATCATAAAAGGAGGAAACACATGAAAGCACACCTCGCATGGTATTTGGTTTGTCACAAGGTTTTATCTTGAAACAAAAGGCATCATCTTCGACGTTCCAGTGGACACCCAGCGTGCGTTCAATAGGAAGTTGGTCAAGACTTAGATCTAGGTCGGGCAAGGCTCTCCTTTCAACAGGCACTGCTTCAAGAACTCTCCGACTGTTGGACATGAATTTGGTCAATTTAAAGCCTCCACGTGAAAGCAAAGACATTGAACTCTTAGCTACTTTAATAGCAATTTCTTCATTCTTTAGGGCTCTCAACATATCATCGACGTAAAAATGTCTTAAAACAGTGTCAACGACAAGGTTATCAAATTCGCTCTTATTATCTTCGGCAGTCCTTTTAAGGCAGTAATTTGCACAGCTCGGCGAGTCTGTCGCCCCGAAAACGTGTACGGTCATAACGTATTCATCAGGTGGCTTGTCGAGACTTCCGCTCCACCAGAGAAACCGAAACGCATCCTGGTCTTCTGGAGATACCTTCACCTGATTGAACATACCTTCAATGTCCGCCACTAGCGCAATGTTATCCTGGCGAAACCTTATAAAAACACCAACGAGACTGTTCGTATAGTCCGGGCCTTGCAATAAATTCTGATGTAGGGACGTATCTTCAAACTTTGCCGCTGCATCAAAAACGACTCTGACCTTTTCAGGCTTGTTCTTATTGATAACGTGGTGGTGAGGAAGGTAATTGGTCTTGCCAGTTTTGGCTTCAGCCTCCTCCCTTGTTAGCTTTCTAGCGAACCCCTTTTCGATGTATTCTGCCATGGTCTTTCGATACTTGGTTTCTAATTCTGGGTCGTTGTTAAATTTCTTCTTTAAAGATTTCAGCCGTTTCTCTGCCACCATTCTGTTATTGGGCAATTGAGGACAATCGTCCTTCCACAATAATTCTGTTTCATAAG